GGGGGAATGTGGCACGACAGTTTTCTAGAGTGACTTTGAATCTGTTATCTCACCTTGAATTAGGAAGTAAGTCATTGTTTCCTACTTCTTCCTATTTTCTTCAAGAGTACATTCACTCTTACAAACACAAAAAATAAATCAGTATAAATGGCATCAAAAATCCATTGTTAAAAACAAACAAAAACGTGCCCGATGTCATTTCAGTCAAGAAAATTTAACTTAATTCTACAAACCAAAAACTCATTGTAAAGAAATACATAACAATGAAATGGTACATTACAGACAATGCTAGGTTCAGTCTCATTTATCTTGTTCGCAGACCTACACCACTGAAAATAAGTATTTTGCTGGGTCTACTCTTTGGTTAAAAAATGAGCTCTGGTTCAGTTCTGTTGTGTGAAACTTCAGTTCACAGGCGTTCTTCACCAGGGAGGTCCGAGAAGCCAAGGGAAACTGGCTGCAGATTGCCTTTAACCTCAGGACGGGGCATGGGGAAGTCTTCAGCAATGCAAGCCTTCTAATAGTAAGTACTCCCTTTTATTTAAAACTGAATAATGTCACAGCACGTCTAAGGCTGCTTCTTTCAGACAAACGAGTTTGCGCTATTGGTGGAACGGCTTGTGCTGGCGGTGCCCATGTCCTCGGCGCTGGATGTACTGAAGTACCAGTTGGAAAGGTAGAATGTCACGAAATGCAGTTCATCACTTGAAAACATGACTGTTAAAGAGAAGTCCTGCCAAGTCTTTGGCTCTGGTGCAGTACTTAAAAGTTAAGGCAAAATCTCCTCCTAAAATATACCCACTTCCAACCCCGCATTTGCTTACGCTTACAAAATTATCATTTGCAAATGCCATACTTTAGAAACTAGCCGAAAACTATAATGTCAATGCCAACGGCAATGATTAAGGCCCTAAAATAATTTCCAGATGCATACAACTATTTTTTTGTAAACTACCGTATTTATAGTTTGTTACTCCAAAATTTAAAAAAACTATTCGTGTGAGGCTATATTCATCAAAAAAAATTTCTTTTTGCTTTTTATGATTCAGTTCAGTCACTTTTTCTATGATTAAGCTTTGATTTAAAACCCCCTTCTCCCTCTACTAGTGCCTTCTTGTTCATATGAAAAGTTCTGCTCAGACACAGTTAAAGGGTTAGTGGTGGGTCTTTCCATCAGGATTGAATATGGCTTCGTTCTGGAAAGAGGTTATTGCTTGATGCCCTGCAGAGGACTGTCGCCCGTTCACTACAACAAGAAATGCGTGTAACCTTCTGCCCCAGTGACGATGACATCCATCCAGATCCGCATGGCTTCCGGCGACGGCGCCACCATGTAATAGATCCTGTCGTGCGTCTTGACACTAAAAGTCAGTAATGGATTTGGACTCTGAAAATCAAAAGCGGAAAAAGGATGTCAAACAAATATCTGGAAATGAGAACACTATTTGACATCAGACATGTGAAGGCTTCCTTCTCTTTAAAAGATTCCACTTATGGAAATCAATGTAGGCGTCATTTTTTTACCTCGTGTGACCCATGCTCTGGCTCCCCACGCCTTTCTCAGTAGTGACCACTACTCTGATCTTTGTGCCCACGACAGGGTTCCCCAGTTTTCTGAGCAGGCTACCTGGCTCAAAGTAAGGGCTCAGATAGGGATGCTAGTCTTAGCTGAACTCGTACAAGAACCCTCTTTGAGATCCACTTCATCCATATGGACAAGCAGTTCCCAATTTAGGGTGCATCTGAATCCCAGTAAATCACACTTTCAACAGTCTGGTTTTGGGAGGTGCATACTATCATGAGTAGTATGTACTACGTGCAATATTGCAATGCATCATCTGCGGATGTCATCTACAGACGTTCATCAGATCTTCTACCACACATGAAGGTCAGATACCAACAGTATATGATCATCAAAGGAAACAATAAAGAGTAAGGAAAATTAAAGGCAGGAAAAAACCAACAAACCAGCTGTGACTACATCAGAGTGGACACAGGAGGGACTGGAGGACTGCCTTTAGGAGCTTCTTGCTAGATCCATCCCTAGCACCGTGGCACTCTGTCGAATCTCCCCGGCCAATGTCCTTGCTGTTGTTGTTAGGGGCCCTCTGGTTGGTTCTGACGCAGTGACCCAAATACCACCTGGTCCTGTGCCAGCTTCACACCGACTCTTAGGTTACGCTGTGGTGGCCTCGCCTCAACCTGCCTCCTGGAGGGTCTTCCTCTTTTGCGGCCCCCGTGCCAAACAAGCACTCAGGATGTTCCCCCCCCACCCCCCGTGGGTTTTTCATTTTTACTTCCAGCTGTCTTCGTGCTATGTTTACTTTTCTAGCACTGATTGTATCTGCGCATTATGCCAGAAAAACAAACCTGCGTTAATTAGAACCCAAAACAAAACCAAAAAAACACCACCCATGCCCCCCCCACAACCCAACCCACATCTTTCCCCCCAAAATTGAACGGTGCATTTAAAATTCTTGGAATATAGAAAAGCTATGCTTACCTTATTAGCATTCTTCAGGTGATCATAATACACCTCTTCAATGGCTTGGAAATATATTACTCCTTTTAATTTTGCCTCGTGTTTGTCTGCAATGACAGGTGAGTGTTAAAAAAAGTACTTTATCGTCCCTGATGGGTTGGAAAACAGCTCGAGTTTCATTGTCATGATCATTAAAATATTTACTTAATGTTCAAATAATCCAAGATGAATTCTGATCATCTGGTTGACTGCATTACCTCTGCTTTGTATTGGGAAAAACATGGAATCATCAGCAGAAAGACAAACCCACCACTCCCAAACCAAAGGGGCGAAGTGACTGCCCGGGGCTTCTGAGCAAACCAGCCGATAAAAGACAGCAATAATCAGCAATATTGGCACAATACAAAATATTTTCCTACATGCTCTAAGAACATCCTTCTATTGGAGGAATTCATATAGGGATCTACTATAATGGAAGTTTAAGTTTCATTTCTTTATTGAAAAATAATATTCTGTTTCTATTTCTTTGCTAACCAAATCCTTGTCCAGGATGCTGGTATTGCCTCACAACACGGGTTTGTGCCGATGACTTAATATCCTTTCCAAGCAGCCCTTTCCATACGGCTTCTCCATGAAAACAGGGTGAAACAAAACCCAAAACAAGCCACCAATCAAACACATACACAGCTCTCCTCCGTGATCTCATAAAGCCTGAAAATCTTTACAGTGTAAACTCGGCAAGGCGCATAAACCATGTGAGTGTGCTAAATGATGTCTGAAGACTAGACGAAAATGCAGACCATGTGATTCCATCACGCCCTGTCGAGGGCAGTACACAGACAGAAGAAAGCTCCTTTTGAAAGGCAGTTACTGCATCAACAATGCACAGATCCTCTGACGGAGAAATTCCACTTCTGTTTATTGTGGAAGATACACTCATGCGTGTGCCAGTGCAGGATATGTATTGGCTACAAGCTGCACGATATCTGCTGGAGCTTTAACAAGAGACAAGCGCAATTACCGAGAGCAGCCAACGAAAAGAGTAAGTTCGATTTGTATGCTTCTAAGAAAAAAATGCTTTTTTTAATGTAAGAAAAAAGACTGAATAGGATATATAATTGGGTCCCGATTCTATCAGGGAAATGAACAATCGGCACCTCACTGCCATCGAGTTGATGTGGACGCACGGTGACTGTCAGACTAGTTAGAACTGCCCCGTGAGTGTCTAGACTCATTACTGCAGGAGGAAAAGCTTTGCAGACTCCCTATTCGAATGTCTTATTAAATAAGCATCTTTCTGTGAAACTGCCTGAAAAGAGCATCTCTGGAGCCCAGGTGGGGTAGTGGGTTATGTCTTTGGGCTGCTAACCATAAGGTCAGCAGTTCAAATCCTTCAGCTGCTCCACGGGAGAAAGAGATGGCTTTCTACTCCCATCCACAGTACAGTCTTGGAAACAAACCCACAGGGCAATTCTGTCCTATCCCCCAGGGTCGCTGAGAGTCAAAAGGGATTTGATGACAGTGGGTGTGGTTTTTTTGGTTTGGATTTAAAAAAAAAACAAACAAACCCTATTTAGTTCAGGCCACTAGCTACCACTGTCACTAGAACCTCACTCAGAGCATGAAACAGGAAGGCGTGTACCCCGCTACTCTTGACTCACCCCAACTCAGGGGCGTCAGAACCAGTGCTTTCTTAAACCTCTCTGCAGAAGCAGAACCGGACTGCACAGGGCACATTACGTCACTCGTCTTGTCTGTACATTCATCACAGTGATATGCTTGCCGACAATTTCTGGGCATGCTCATTAGTGCAGATTCAGTTACTCAGGGATGATCGCACTCGTCCTCAGTTGCTGAAAAGACAGCTGAGCTACCCAGGAACACGCTTCCTCTGCGATCCAGAGAAAGTTAAGACCCTTCTTGATTAGAAGAAGCCCTGATGGCGCAGCGCTGAGGGCCCTGTGCTTCTGAGAGGTTGGCTCATGGTGGTTCAAACCCATCTGCTGGGGGAAGAGGTGGCAGGCTACTGCCATCAAGTTCACAGGCTCAGAAGCCCTGGGGCGGGGCGGCAGTTCTGCTCTGTCTTGCAGAGTTATTATAAGTTGGAATTCACTTGAGGATAATAGGCCTCGATAAGTACAACAGATACATTCATTTTGTATTTTTATGAGACCCAGTAGAGTGGATTGCTCATAGTCCATCACCTAAAGCAGCCAAAACTATTTCAGGACACTTAATAAATACGTAACTCATTCACTAGTTTCCTGATGAGCGTAACTCTTTGTGCTTTAAAGTGCATTCCAGTTTGTAAATTATAGTTGGCCTGTCAGCTCCGGCCACCTAATTGTGTGTGACTTAAGGGGGGCATAAGGCCATGAATAAAGATGTGGGGGAAACAAACGCTTCTCCCCCTCCCACCCACACAGCTCCGTGGCTTAGAAAGCAACATCTTAATCTAAAAGGAGCCGGTGGCTGCGTGTAAACCCTGGACCGCTCGCTGCAAGGTCAGGGTTTCAAGCTCATCAGCCACTCCGGAGACTGGCTGCTCCCACAAAGAAGTACAGCTCCAGGAAGACCCTCTTCGGGCCGCTGGAGTCAGAACAGACTCCGCCTCAGTGGGCTTGGTGGTGGAATCTTGATCTGAAAAAACATTTTCATATTTATTTGCATAAGTCAGACTCACTGCCATCCGGTCGATGCCGACTCGGGTTAAAAGCACCCTTGTGGAACAGACTACCTCACACTTAAAAAAAAATTATATAATTTTAGTTCCTCCTAGAAAAGAAAGATCATTTGGACAACGTTATCTGCAAATAAAATACCCCTGAAGCGAGTATTATCATTTTTTTACTTTACCAGTTTTCTATGTCCACGGAATTTTGATGATTTTACTGCTAAGCAGAGGGTTCTTGATTTGAATCGGCCACTTGATTCTTCTTCTTATTAAACTACCCACCTGCATAGTAAGAGAAGGTTCGCTTGTTCCGATCGAAAACAAACCAACGCTTCTTCCACGTTTTGATTTTCCCACCCATCTTGATGAGGTATCCGCGGCAGGTCTTCTCGGTGAGAGCGATGTGGAAGCAGGTGTCAACGCTGTGGCCGGCAGCCTCCACGTGACTCCGCAAGTCGAAGTCTTCCTTGCGGACAGGCAGGTAGCGGGTCAGCGGGCGCGCCTGGAGGAAATGCAAACCCCAGCCCATGGAGAAGGGAGTCTTTGAGGTGTGGTAAGTCAGACACTGGGAAACTGACATTAACCAGAAAGCCTCAAATGGGAAATGCCCATTGGTTTGTTTAAAAAAAAAAAAGATCTTAAAAGTTAAAAAGCATTTCTCATTTGGAGACTACAAAGTGAATAGTATTTTGAGAAGGTGCCACTATGTGAGGGCACAACATAAAGATGATAGACTTAGGTCAGTCAACCCCAATCCTTGTGAAACACAGGTGAGAAAATGTTTTTTTTTTAATATAGATCATTTATCTTAAAAAATAATATAATTTTTTATATCTTTGAAAGAGGCATGTCGCCCTTATCAAACACGGGGAAACAAAGCAGCAAGTGGGCTGGACTACAGAGAGTCCCTGCAGATGCGGATTCTGCCACTAGAGGTCCCCAGGGTTTCCATGGCCACAGTTTATCAGGACAATTCTCTCTATGTAATCTCAGGGACAGCATGATTGATGGACTATCATTTGATAAGCCAAGATTCCCCAAAGCTGTGTAAGTCGGCTCACACTCACTCTCTGGTAGAACTGGAAGGCTGAGGTGTAGTCTTTGAAAGCGACACTAAAACAAGTCAGAAGTGGGCTCAAAGATGGACAGGAAGGGCCCAAGGTGGACCCACAGCGTAGAGGCTGCAGGGACAGACACACACACACAGGTCTGGTTTTACTAGTGGCTGGGGCAGAGGCTTACCTAAGCCAGGAGATTTCTAAGATTTATTTTATCTTGTTAAAGAACCCATGTGTTTTCCCCTGGGGACGAAGACCTAATCATATACCTGGATGAACAGCATCCCAATCTGAAATAAAACCGAATCGTGGGGTTGGTTGTTTGCATCCCCAGACAGACCCGGTTCACCTTCATGACTAATCAGACTGGCAGAAGCTGACCTCCTGGGACAAAAGGGGCGGTTTTATTTTCTAGCATTCCTTCAATACTTTACCTTTGGTTCTGTGGCCTTTTTGCTGTACACAGACGGCACAGGCTTGCTGATAAGTCGATAAGGACTTAAAGCTAGTTTTATCTGCTCTACGACTAAAGTGCCAGCTACCACGAAGAAGAAAGCAGTTAACGTTTATCTAACTGTTCATACATCCTGGCAAAAGAGATTTGAGTTCTGAACTACTTGTACCTAATAAAACTTTAGGTTCCCAGAAAATACTCTGTAAGTAAACTGTTTCCGTGACAATCACAGTGCTTCAAAGTCTCCGCTGACCAAGATATAGACTCCCTGAATTTTGCCTGTGTTCCGTTCTCTTGTGAACGTGTTGTGTGGGCTTGGATAGCAAAGGGGGGCATGTGTGAAAACAGCGAGCAGAGAACACAGCACAAGAAACCATCCTGGTCCAATAATGCTGTACTAGACTGCCTGCTTCAGCAACATGGTCTCACAGGCTCTCTTCCCCTCTTCAAACAAAAGCCGTCGTTTGGGTCTTGTATTATAGATTTCCAGTAGAAAACCAATCCTTTTTTTTCCCTAAAACAGCTCTTTGTTGTTTGTTTTGTTTTGGGCTACATATTTTAAAATATCCCCCAAAGATAGGTGAAAGAACAAATGCCTGTCTCATAATGTGCTACCCAGATAAAAGTGCCGCTTGGCTAGTGGTCCTCTAGAGTTTTGAAACTCACACACACTTCCTTGCTTGCTCACTAGCGCACATCTTAACCAGGCGCCATCCACAGCCAGGCAGGAGTCCCCAGACACCTCCCTGACTTGACCACAAGAGGGCAGCCGCCTCTCAGCCATCCAGACGGACAACCAACCTGTGCCCTTTGTTTCTCCCTTATTTTCACTTCCTTTTCAATTAACTTCTGCCGCTGGCTCGTTTCTTCCAGCAGTCGTTTTTCCAGGAGTTCTCTGCGTCGTTTTTCTTCTTCCAGAGCTCGCTTTTTGGCTTCCATTTCCCGTTCCTGAGGATCAGCATGCAGAACAATGATCATTTTGAGAGAGCTTGGGTATCCTGGAATGATTCCAACTAATATCCCCAAAGGAAAATTCTCACGAGGCAACTCTTGGTCGATAGCCAAGGTGCTTCAAATATAGAACCCAACTGAAATGGGCTGTAAGCAGCTTTCAAAAGATTCACATGCAGAAATGCAACACCAAGTCTAAACAACTAAATCCTGGTTTAAGGCGGGGAAATCTAGTGAGCGACTGTAGTCAGTTACTTCCCATCTTTAACCACAACTCTCCTGTTCTCAATAAAAATCTCGACGCACTGGCACCCAACATCAGGCATTATTTCTATCTCCGTCTTCCGGTTGAAGGCCATGGTCCTTCCAAATCCTGTTGTTCTCTGCAGCTACCCAGCCGGCTGCTCATAGGAAACACGTGGGGGGTTCAGAAGAGGAAAGGAGGTGCCCTTTAAGGCAGGATGCAAAGGCATTCTGGGGGATTCCTAAGGAAGCCTGGATCGGACTAGAAATACCATGGGACTATTGGTATTACAATAGTGCACTTAAGTCAGGCAGGCTGCGAATGGGAAAATGCACCGACATGACAGCCCTCCCCATAGTAATCAGGGGAAGAGAAAAGGGTCCACTTCAGTCTTGTGCTAACACCTAACGGAAATATGGGGCACCCAGTGCCTCTACGAAGCACCGACTGTCTACAAAGCCAAGGCCCAGAGAGGTTGAGAAACTACTCAGATCACACCGCCCAGGAAGACCTGAGAGGAGCCACCTGGTCTCAGCCCCCCCTCAGCCCTCTAACAGAAAGCTGGGACACTTACCCTGGATTCAAGCAGCCGCGTCTTTTCCGCATGAGCCTGTTTCAGAAGTCTCTCCATTTCTTCTATTCTGGCAATATTTGACGTGCTGGCACTGAATAAAACACACAGGCCTTTCAAGGACGCCGCTACAGATTGCTAGGGTTCTTGCACACACGTTTGAGCACGTGCGCGCACACATACACAAGGCTGATGCACAGTAGACTCTAACCATATATAATTGAAAGGAGACCACGAATTAGTCACTGGTCCCAAGAGTTCAATCAGCTCAACTCTGAAAATTGTAGATAACAGTAACTTCTATCAGGTTAGGCCATAGATCCCCAATCTATTGGGTCTACTACTCCCTATTCAGAAAAAAAAAAAAAGACAAAGCTCCCTGCCCCTGACAATCAAAAACTCTTGTATTATAGCCATCTCATAGGCCAAAATCCAACATAAAGTGCAGGCATCTACTTTTGCAACCCCCTGGATTGTTCCAGGCCTCTGCTTGGGGGTGGTGGTAGTGGGGGTGGGTGGGGGTGGAGGTGGTGGTGGTGTGTGTGTGTGTCATGGTATCATCACTTTGGGAAACACTGGTTGAAGAGATAAAGTGGGCAAACAGAATGCTGCCAGTGTAAATTGCTACTTATCCATGAATAACCCCAAACCCCAATCTTACCACACGCATGAAGCCTGCATGCTTCCCCACCCCCAATCTGAATATGGTGGCCTCGGGGGACTGTCCGGTTAGCTTAGAGATGGTTAGTTTATAGAAGGTATAAGGTAATGTCTGTTCTTTCCAGGCAACACAAATTCAAGGAAAATCATCTTTCAAGTTGGTGCAGAAATTCTTATTTCCCTTCACTGAGAATACTTGATCGCGTGGATAGAAAGGGAACAAATTTCATCAGTCCAACACCGAAAGTCTAAGCTCACCCTCCAGCCCACGTACTAGCATAGCATTCTATCTATATTGGATGGAACTGTCTATAATATCAGATAGGAATGTCTTAAGTCTAGGATGAATTTGGAAATAAATTGGGTGTCACTAAGTGAAACTTGGTGGAAAAGACTTTCTGTAAGGTGGCAGAAACCTCACACTCTACCAAGCAGTCCAACTCCAAATTTTCCTTTAATTCTTTCTGCAACATTCATTTTTCGCCTGGCTTGTTGAACATTGCTGGCAGCAAGAACCTCGGTCTATTCTTTCTTTGCTTGGGAACAAGGGTAGAAGGATGCTACTTACAGTGAATCAAAGCCTACACAGCTTTCCCTCGCTGGTCTAAGTGTCCCCAAGCCAAACGAAGCCAATCTAGATGAGCTGGTTGAAAACCAACTTTGTTAAGCGCGCGCGCGCGCGCGCGCGCGCGCACACACACACACACACACACACACACACACACTCTTTCAGTTCTTAGTCACTCATCTTTAGTCATTTTCAGACACCCTGCAGGCAACTTTTCAAACTTGTTCACCCGTTTTTGTTCATCATTCATGATTTTTCAAGATGCTTGCCTTCTATTATTTTAGAACATGCCTACTTTGTTTCCTGCCGGTTGTGGCCTGTCTCGCTTCTTTGGTCAGTACCAGCACAGGTGTTCTAATGTTCACTCCCAAAGGATAAATTATATGGAAAAGACATCAATAGAGAACACGTGGCCATCGACCACTTTCAGTCTGTAAAACAGTTAGGTATCTGAGAGTGGGCATCTACTATTAACTAACCTTTAGGAGCTACTGTGTTTACTTCTAAATTATTAAATTATTCTTTTTTCTAGAGACGGTCACTTGTTCTATTTCGTCAACCTTGCCGTTGCTGACTTTAAGACTTCCTTGGCATTTCAAGCGCAGTATTCAGCAAAATTGTTGTTGCTGTGACATCACCATTTCATTTTTAAAAACGTTTTCTTGTCAGAATGACAGCGACAGTGCACAGCGAGTGCAACTGTGATAAGAATTTAGGGAGGACGGCAGCACACATGCACAGATACGCTCAGACGACTGATGGCTGGATTGTGATAAGAGCTGTAAGAGCCCCAATACAATGATCTTACAAAAAAGTTAGGGGATAAAAATAGATTCTGATTAATCCAGGGGGAAAAAAAACAAACAGGAAAAGAGTTTAGGGAGAGGAAGTTAGTTGGGTGAACATCGTGGCCTGGGCAGATGTCGATCAATGGATTGCCACTTGGCCAGCACACAGGAAGAGGCAGAAGACTAAGATGAGCATCATAATGCAATACCAACGGCTTTATAATACTTAGTATTATTTTCCCAAATCCACCCAAACCAAGAGTGGAGGAATCCGTCCAGCATCTGCTCCAACTCAAAGACCTTCTTCCAAAGGCAGGTCTCAGCCCGTCCGCACAGGCTGAGTAGGAAGGTGGACGGTACTGGGAGACCGGCCACTGATGCTATCAAGATGCGGAGGCCTGCCTACTCTCTGTCAGCCATGCTCTTGCTGTCATCACGAAGTTTCCTTTGACAGCTGAGCGGTTTTGGTAAAACTGAATTCATAGAGGCAAACAAAACTTTCAATAAAGGGAATCTAAGTAGCAGATTTGGGGGTTCTTTAGGGGTCAGTAATTGCTTCAGCAAAATTGGAAAATTCCATTTTTAAAGTCAATTCCATTTTTGCAAAGGCAAAACTGACACAGCATGGACAAAAAAATATATATATATAAAATACTTTCAGATAAAATGAATCACCGGAAACATCTAAGAACACCAGTAGGCAGCAGGCCAGGGGCCTAGAGCACTTATTTTTAATTCATCTGTCCTGTTAGGTATTTCCCTCCCCTTGTTTTTGTACAGGTGTTTACTACTTATAAGATCAACCCAGTCTTCCTTTGATCCATAGATCTCTGAGTATTAGCGGGGCAGGAGCCTTCTCTCTGACACGTCCTCAATTACTTTTCACACTGTCTGCCATCTGGTCATTGGCCGTCACCTCTGTATTAACTCTGGCTTGCTATAACTTCTGAAAAGAACTCCCTAGAGTAAGGAACATGCAGAAGCTGGTTTTAATGGTCTCTGATCGGAAACAGAATAGGAACATCGGTCTAAAGAGCGACGCGATTAGAGGTACCCAAAATGCTGCTTAAAGACCCTCTTAAAATTAGGTTCAGCCATAGTTTTCCCCTCTCTACCTCTACTGCCCTTCCTTCCCCATTGATAGATTAGATAGATAGAATACTATATTATATAGATATAGATATATAATACTACATAATATATATAAAACATCAATATTTTCTCAAGGAGACCAAATGGTGCAGCGTGTATGCACTCAGCTATTAACTGGTTGTTTGAACCCAGTGAGTCATTCTAGGAGAGAGCCCTGCCCATCCATCCCCATCAAAGATTACAGTCAGTGTGGGAAACAGAACAGGAAGAGAGTGTATGCGGATGAATCCTTTATTCTCATATATTAAGCAGCCTGGCAGGCTGGGTTTTCTGGGGTTGAGGGAGGCTTTCACCCTTGTGAATTGGAGGTGAGTCCCAATCACTTTCTCATAATCAATATTGTTCCCCATTATATCAACCCAGGTGCTACCTTAAGGTTACCTCTCACAAGCATGGAGCAGGCAGCTTTGACGGGTGCTATTGCTCTCTAGGATCCTCTCTAGGATCCAAAGACAGCCACTCCCCCTCACCTGTGCCAGGCACTGGTGTTAGGTTACTCCTCCAATGTAGGGTTAGGGTAAGGCCCACTTTGTTATCTTATGTGGTTACCTGTAATTAGGGGGGCTTACACACACACACCCATCCCCGCAGATAGAAACCATGGTTGGAAATATGTTCTCTCTCTGCGAGGACCTGGGTCTTGAAGTCATGGCTGCTGAGGTGAGCCGTTGCATGCCTTCCCTTGTCTTCTGTCTCTTGACCCCTCCATTACACCACTGCTCCTTGGCCCATTCGGTCGTGGGGCTGGTAGCTCCTAAGCCAAGAAGGCCTGATGGAGCCGTTCTACTCTGGCACTTCTGAGTCGATAGGAGTACCAACAGCCTCAAAGCACCGAACATCAACATTTTCTCAAAGGATGGGCCCAAAGCCAGGGCCTAGTAAGTCAACACTCGCAATCATAGGACTGACAGCACTGTCGGTGCTCAGGCACTCCTTTCTATACGCCAGTGCAGTTACACTTAAACTGGATGCAGAATTTAAGCTCAACTGCCTGTTTTCCAGCACTCCAGACCTGTTTGCTAAAGTGCATGTTGTCAACTGTGTAAGTGATGAAGCTCAAAAGGTAGTCCTCCCCCCCTCCCTTAACTCTGCTTGTCACCGAAGAGATGGCTCCAGAAAGCACAAAGGGGGCAAGTTCCCCCAAAACAAAACTCAGGAATTCTAAAATTCTACAAGTGTCTCATTGTGGCCGAAGACACCACAAAACTAAGCTTATGTCACTAGAATTTTAGCATGGAATGACCTCGAGTGTCTGATGCAGCCTGGGAAGCTGGAGAAGCCACATGGAGACCCCTGCCAGTGGTCAGATGCTTACACCACCACTGGATCCCAAGACTTTCTCCCCACCGGCCTGTGATCATCCTGCATTCGGCATCATTGCATGTGTTTCATGGGTCTGAAGAGGACTTTATAGATTGGTATCGCACATATGGGCTAATCTTATTCGACTTATGGACTTGATCTGGACTGGGCTGGGATATTTTCTCAATATACAATTGCTCTTGTGGGTAAAGCTCTTTCTTATCCACACGAGTCTCCCTGGATTTGTTTCTCTAGTCTATCCGGACTAACACAGTGAACTGCAAAGCGCTTTGTCCAGGACGGGCACCAACACGCCGAGAAGCACGGAGATGGGAGAGCTCACTGTCGTTTTTCAAACAATGAGAAGTCCCGGGAGGTGTATCAGGAAGGTAGACTGGACTGGGAGACGAGTTGGATCTGGGATGCCTGGAAGTGGGATGCCTTCTGACTTTATTCAGAAGGTAAAATGGAGCAACACCCAAGCTTTGGAAGAAGTTCTAGGGGTAGATCCGCATTTTTTAAGTGCTTTTGCCCCTCCTCTCACATGACTACCTTCCTCGCATGTACTTCGGACACGTTATCAAGCAAGACCAGTCCCTGGAGAAGGACATGAAAAGGAGGAAGGCCCTCAAGGAGATGGATGGACACGGGGGCTGCAACCATGGGCTCAAACAGAAGGACACGTGTGAGGATGGTGCAGTGTTTCACTCTGTTGTGTACCTAACAACAAAGTCTGAGCACAAATGAGTGGTACAAAACCTCAATATGCAGAACAACTAAAACCTTCCTTTTATCAAAACATCTCCCTCATTGCTATAGAGTCAGTTCTGACTCGTAGCGACTAGGGTCAAACTGCCCGGTGAATTTCTGAGATTGTGACGCTTGACAGTACTAGAAACCTCATTTTCCTCCTGCAGGGCAGCTGGTGGTTTTGAACTGCTGACCTCGTAGGTAGCACCCCAGAGTATAACCCACTATAGCACCAGGGCTCCTTATGAACAAAACAGGTTAAAAAAAACTCCTCGGAATCTTTCCAAGGTTCTGATTCTCTTGTTGGAAATTATTCCGTAGCTTACCCCATAAAACACTGAAGTCAAATGAAGTGAACCGGTTTTTAAGCATTTGGTATCGTGGCCGACGTGATGAACTGCTAACCCCCAGGTCAGCAATTCAAAACCACCAGGTCACTGCAAGGGAGGAAGGTGATGTTTTCTGCTCCTGTAAAGATTTACAGCCTCGGAAACCCAAGGAGCCAGTTCTGTTCTGTCCTATAGGATCAGTAGGGGTCAGAATGTAGTCAATGGCAGTGAGTGAGCTAGTCTAAATGTGAGTTCCAGTATAAAGAAATAGGGTTAAGGGGAATAATGGATATTATGAGGCCTGACTACTTCCCACAGGAAGGCCGCATGACAGACTTGACTATCTCGTAGACTCTGACTTGGACAATTTGGACTTACGTGTATACATTGTCATGATTTGATGGATTCAACTTTTGAAACCAACCAGTGCTTTTTGAAACCAGGAAGCTAACCCATGAATAACTCTTACCTTGAGATGTTGTCAGGGGAGCAGGCTGAGATGCTGGTCTCCATGCTGTCAGAGCTGTCTAGGCTTAAAGTATCAAAGGGTTGGTCCTTGTAGCTGTGATCTGGATAATGGAAACTATTCAAGTAGACATTTGATTCAGATGCAGTGCGGTTATAAAATTCAGAAGATTTCTGTCTCTGTCCTTCACTCATCTGTTGGTGGGTATACCCTAAGGAGAGAGCCATAGATAAATGAGTTACGTGCGCCCCATTTTACAGTCCTAGAAATTTAGGCACCTACAGACTCAAACCAGCAACCAATAATATCTGCATAGGATTCCATGTGTAAGCTTGGTCTAATTTATTTTTTTCTAAATATTTTTTATTGTTGTTGAAAATATACACTGCAAAACACACACCAATTCAACATTGAATCCATTCAGTGAGTGGTGTGATTATTCTAACCCCACTCTTCTGGGTCACTCTCCCCCGTTAATATAAACTCAGGGTCTCTTGAAATTCTTATCTAATCTTTCAAATTGCCCAAAGTGCAATAATCAAGGCATATCTTTTTCAAATTAAAATTGCTTAAGCTAAACAACTGTTAGGATGTAAGAGGAATTCTGTATTTTTGGTTTAAGGTTTAAAGACAATCTCAGGGCAACAGTTTCAGTGGTTCATCCACCCTTCCTGATGCCCCAAAGTCCATGTGTATTTGAAATTCTGTTCTGCATTTCCCCCCTTTGTTCAGGATTCTGCTACGGACTCGGTGATCGAGTGTTCAGCAAAGGCATTTAGGCACAACTGAGTTCTGGAAATGAGGGAGTTGTTCATGGAGGAAATGAGCCCAACATTCCATATCCTCCCCCTGCTTCTGATTCCCCTTCCTCTCTGCTCGAAGTGAAGAAGGAGCAACCATTGTTGGTCTAATTTGTTTTGCTCGGCCCAAAGGAACAGCACGCTTGGTGCAAACAAAATTTTCAAAGAAGTGGTCTTGAGTCAGCTTCTTGGGGGGTAAGCCCACTTGACACATTCCCCTATCACTTGTACATCTTAACACAGCAGAGGGTTATAAACAGGGTAATCAAGAAGAGCTACTAAAAAATCATAGCAACCTTTATTTTGAAAAGTAAACTGCCAAGCCAGTGTTTCTTGACAAATCTTTCATTTAGGTCTACGCACTTCTGAAAGTAGTGTTCCCAAGGAAGTCTGCACTCTTGAATTTATACCACATCTGAGTAGCAGTGTGGGCATCTTACAGGCTCAAACTGTGATCCCTGAAATGTTCTCTGAGTTTGTGGAAGAGACTTCTGACTGCAAAGGCAAGACTAGGGCTGTAGGGCAGATGGGATAATGCCTTTGACTAAAGCTCTCCTAGGACAGCCCTTGCCACCCTGGAATGCACTGTCGTGCTGGAATTCCTCAAAGCTGCTTCTCTGGTCTTTGCTTTCACCTGTGCGGTTATCAGTTTTCTGAAAAGGGTCTTCCTAGTAAGTTCCTGTGATTGTCCTCTGTCCTTCAAGAAAAACGATCATGTTTACTCCTTTGAAATCCCCTCAAGAGTGGCCATAAACTTCTCAGTTGATCTCTCTGCAAAGAATCCTCCTTCAATGTGTTCCCCACTTTCTTTCAAATGCTTGATCCGTCTGGAAATGGTTGTGTTACATGGGGCAGCGTGTTTGACGACATGTTGCAAACATTCAACAAGTTGACTTGGGAAGAGGTCCACTCAAGCTTTGTCAAAAACTGGCTATTAGCCCAGAACTCCAAATCTTTGCCTCTCCCCTCAGCGCAGTCTTCTTTCTTCAAGGTGCCCAAGGATACCAGGGCAAGCCTATTACTGAGAGGACTTTTCTGTAGCCACTTGCTAATCACAGAGAGCTAATCAAACACATCTTGTTCGGAATAAACCATGCAAGTGTGAACTGCATCCTCAGTAACAAGGCTTCCTGGCTTATCCTGGAATTGCAAGAAAAACACAAGGCCCTACATCTTCTCTGTACGTCTGGGTTCACGTGAAAGTAGAGGACTCCTGGTGACAAGCAACGCCAGCTTCTGAGAGCAGTCACGACTTCAGTGGGTTTAGCGCTTAAGAAGAACGTAGTTATAAATCGTATAAATCGGCAGGTAAGCCTTCCTAATGAAGGATTTCAGAACCTTGCATCTCACACTGTCTCCTATGCATGTAATCTTGTGAAGACCCAACCCGCACGTTTTTCTTAATCTTTTTTTCCCTTCCAATTCCCCTTACTTTCCAATTACTCAGGACCAACAATCCTTCCAGGGGTTGTATACATCCCACTTACTGAGTCTACAGTTTTCTTCTTTAATCTTAACAAGGAGCTACCACATGAAAACACAGCAATAGGTCCCAAGGCACAGTAAATTTTCTCTTACCCTGGCTGGGACGTTGTCAGCTAACAATCGGGTTCCATTCAGAGAATACCATCCTAAGTCTGTTCTCATGCAAGTTGAATACTTGGTTGTTTTTTTCGCCAAGTTTCATCATTATTGATTTTTACTAGTATATAAATCTTTATTTGTCTTTGGGGGATGGAAGCATCACATATGATCTTCCATATAGGATGACATCAGCAAATGACATGCTACAAACCTGTATGTAGAACACCTTACTAATCTAACGATAAGACATTTTTAAATCCCCCCAAAAGACATGCTTCAGAGATAAACAGTTTTTCATAACTCAAATAAATCACAAGTTGGGGACTACCTGTGTTTTTGTTGCTATGGCTCACTAATTGATTGGGGAACTGTGCCACCTTTCAATTTCCTTTTTATTATGTAATCAGAAAGCAGGGACAACCCCTCCCCCACCCCAGATCAATATCAATATAACAAAATAATAATAATAATATAATAAACCTATCCTTCAGTAATAATCTCTTTCTAACCTAACTAAGCTATTAATTTACAACTGGCCCAGTTGAATTTGATCCTCTTCATTCTATCTACCTTCCAGTGTGGCTATTAATTAATGAAAGAATACCCAATAAGCAGGCAAGAGAAAGGGAAGTGATTCAAAGCAGCTCCCTCAGCTGTTCACCAAACATTTCCACTGACAGCCAGAAGCAGTGTCAACGGTGCATTAAGGAAGCCTAATATGCCAAATGCCTCTGTGAAAATGTTAGCTCCAGGCAGAATTTGCATGACACTAGTATACAGAGCAGTTTTAGATATCAAAGTGAAAATGCACTGAGTCCTTAATTTGGATGAATCCAAATGAATTATTAATTTATTAATATACATGGTTGCTATAAATCATAAGCACAAACTCGTTGCAAAATTAAGCCCAGTCACTTAGCTACATAGGGGAAGGCACAGAACATAAAGTCACTCCACGAGACTCGGGAGAGAAGGTCATCACTCAGCATGAAACCGTAAAAGCCAATGCATTCCTGAAGCATGGAGCTGGGCCTTTACAGTCATCTTTTACAAAGACACACTAATCCACTACTTGAACATTTACCTCTGGTGCCTGAACTTTTGGAATTACTTATTGCTCCCATTAGATTGTTTCCAATTCATGAAGAATAAAGGAGGGGCGGGGCAAAATAAACAAATTATTTGAAAAGGTCACGTGTGTATTTGTGCAGTTCTAAATACCATGTGACACAGGACACTTCCAAATTGTCACCAACGACGTGAGGCATTTCCTTTTTTGAATAACAAATCCCTCAGAGTCCGCCAAGCACATGTGAAGCATAAGGAGAATCTCATCTCGGGCAATGTCATGGCCAAGACCTTCGTCTCCTCTAAATATTCCACCACGAGGAAAAATCAGTCCCTACGAGGCATCTATCTAGCACCTTCTCAGAAAAGCAGAAAAAAGGAGGAGGGGGGTGTCTATTTCTTTTAATGACAGTACCTTTGTGTCCTACTTTACCTCAAGACAGGGCGTTTAATTTTCATCAAGACAGGTACAACCCCACCCCCCAAGTATTACAGAACAAGATCACAGTTTTCAGATGAGGTGGACAAGAAACTAAAATAACTCAAGCCTTTCAGATGTGGGCACACGAGGCAGCTATGCTGTGATGGGAGCTAAAGATTGTGACCCTAAATTCCCTAAATCAATTCACCACATATAGAGGTCTGCTTCTATAGTGGAGAGAGCCAAGCACCTCACATTGTTCTAGCAATGTAAATGAAAACGTCTGCTAATAAGCACATGCCAATAAACAAGACGCCTGTTTCCTGTGGACCCAACGGGGGTGGAAATGGTCTCCTTGGAGGCCACTCTGTTTCTCGATGTAACCGGCAGTTTATCTGGTCACCATGAACCCAGCTGCCACCTGGCTTATGTAACTCACATAGTGAACAACCCCAAGAAATGGCTTGCCTCTTCAGTCCCAAGTACAGGCATGACATTCTCCCCCACAACTCTAGGGTTGCTGTACAGTAAGCTCTAGTTTTGGGGTTCAGGCTCTGGTCAGGCCAACCAAAAGCAAAGGTACTTTTGATAGAGGGCACACCACAGAACAGAGGATTGTAAAAGGGCATCCCTGTAAGGAGACCCAAGAAGAACTTCCAGTGCCGTGAAAAACCAGAATAGTCATTAACTGGTCTTTAAGCCTCCATTCAAGTGTGGGCTTTATGAGGGAGGGGACTGTCAACATAGCATCCACACTACTTAGCATATAAACGGCATTCAAGAAGGGAGCCATTGCACTCGTATTCTCACCTATACATTCTAAATTAATACAGGAATAAAGATGTACAATATATCTACCAGAGTGGGGCAAATTAAGTAGATGGGGAAAATGAGATTTTCCCCCCAACCCTTGAGTATGGTGAGGTGAAATGGTCTGGTATGATCTTCTATCCAGTCTTTGTAACCCTCCCCAAATGACTGGGTGGGAGCAGGAATTGGTCGATTTTGGCCACTCTGTTGGGTATAAAGAGAGCCACTTTGAATGCAGGACGACGAATCCTGAAACCATCCAGAAAAAAGAGCAGGCAGCAGTGTGTGCAAAAGCCTTGCCTGAAGTGGTGTGACTAGAGGCTGCAGCATCCGAACCAAGAGACGGAGCACAGCAGGTGCAATGAGACCATGAGGTCGAGCAAGTAAGGCTGCATGCCTTTGGGCATGAAGCTGACCTGCAGAATGGGGGACCCTAATCAGCCCTAGGAAGCTTTGTAACCTTTGCCAGTGTGGGGCAGCAGCCAAGAATTGTGTAGCTGTGAGGCTACCAGCAGAGAGTGAGAGATG